TATTGTATGCACGGCTTAGCTTGAAATAAGATGGAATAAAAAGGAAATCATTTAGTTTTGACTTAATCAACAGCAAGAGATTAATTACCAGTCATCTCATCAGTACGTTGACATGCATTTTGCTTAGCGACTGGATAATGATGGCTGCTATGAAGCTCAACACTTTAGACAAGAAAGAAAAAGCTTCCATATAATCAAATCCCATTCTATGGGGCTGCGATGAGGGGATGTGGGCTGGCAGTGAGGCATGGGAATTTATTTATTTTATTTTTTATTTTTTATTTTTCTTTATATAATTTAAAATTTAATCATGTCTATAAATATTAATTTAATCTAATTTTTTGTGTATTCTCTCTCACAAAATTTTCATATATCACACACGCCTTGAACTTCATGTCATTGTCTCGAGCACTAACAAATTTTGCATTTTGTATCCATGCAATTGAACTTCATGTCATTGTCTCGAGCACTAACAAATTTTGCATTTTGTATCCATGCAAGCATTTTGTATCCATGCAAGGACCCGGGCAATATAAATGTTCATTTTATATATTTTCGATGTTTCAAACATGACGCATTATCCATTGTGTGAACGAATTATTTTTGGTGCATTTTTATGGTGGCGGTGTTTCAAACTAGATTTACATGACATCACATCCGTAATCGACCATTTTTATTGAGGTTGACCGAATTGATTGCCGAAGAAGCTTTTAATAAATTTCCTACTCTGGATAAATCAACACAATTTGTTTAACAAACTGTCAATATCTGGGAAGTTTTAACTACATTTAGCGCAATCCAAATCACATTAATGCAAGTTGCATCTGTTATATGTCGCCTTCAACCGATTTGCTCGAGTCGACTGGAGTTGCAAGTATGAAGATTAACAAAAGACCCAAACCAATAAGGATATGGCATGTCTTTCCTGCTCAAATGATTTTGTTGTTAGATGACTCCAAAGAAAATAATAACTATGACAAGAGCCATCTAATTGGACGATTTGTCATAAAATGACATAATTAAATTACGTTTAAAGCTTGTGCTCTTAAGTTTCCCAATGAAGTAAATCCCCAAAACTGGTGAATTACAAAGTGCATGAGATAGGGCACAAAGGCCTATATTAATTAGAATTAACTTAAAATTATCCACTTAGATAAAATTTTTCCTAAATTCTACAAGTTCAATTCGGATGGTGTAACTAATGGCTCATGAATATTTTTATTTCGATAAGGTCGTGGTTCAACTCCTTTCGAGTAGGTAGACTAAGGTGATCCAAGACAATTCAGGGTAGCAAATCACGAAATTTTGATCGGGCTCATTGTATTCCGCCAACCATCCACTGTATACTGACAATGGTAAATTTTCTCTTTTTAAAACCAGAAGTCTCTCATATATCTAGTCATAATAAAAAATTCTCTCACATGATTGAGAATAATAATTAACCATTAAAGCTTGCAGCTAGCGGCTAGCGGAAACTTGAAAACATTTTTCAAAATTCTTGCAACATGAGAGCAAAATTTCTAAGTAATTTTATATCTAAGATATAGAAGAGCCACTCACAAATATTCGGAGCCCATAAATCTAGATGAGATTGTGTATAATGAAAATTTAAAATTTAAATTATTTCAAAAATAATAAAATTCACTAAAGTCAGCTCAAAATTCAACACTAAAATAATGTTTTTCAAGTCAACTCAAACTTATCTCAACAAAAATAATTTTTTTTTGATTTGGTTCTGAATCAAACCCACCTAAACTAGACTGGTTATCAAATTTAAACATTAGTAATAAGGTTTGAACTTTACCTTCGGATATCGATGCCCAAGGAAATAAATTAACTGAGCTAGTGCACGACAATTTAAAGGCTCCGTAACAGATGCAACATATCCAAGCATTGAAATTCCCGTGTATAGCTTGGTGAAATCCTTCGTTCCCTTCAACTCAACCGCCAGTGAATCTAGAAGTCCTGTGCAGAAATCTAGAGTGTGGCCCTGCAAAATCATAATTTGTGATCTGGCAAGTTAATTACACTAAGCATAAAACAAATTGAATGAGTAAACATTTTCAGTAAGCAAGCCAAACGTGAACCCAAGAAATAAAGGCTAGAACAAATATAGAGATTAAAATTGAAAGCAAGTTTGATAAAAAAGAAATTAGAATTTCAGATATTGCAAGCCTAAGAAAGGAAAACCAATAAAACTCACATGCATTAAATTGCAATACTAACAATATCACAAAAGTTTCAGGTAGCATGCATAAATGTAAAGGGTGCTAAGATGATTGAAACATAAACAGCCAAACATGCTAACCTCCATATTTAGGAAGACCTTTCTGCTAAAGAGAATCTCGATAGTCTGCAAAGGCACAGAGTTTCTAAATAAGATAGCAGTAAACAAATTTACAACATAGGAATAACAAAAATCAATGCCAAGATAATTGTAATGATATACCAATTTAAACTCATGATTATTAATAGTAGAAAGAAAACACTTTGAATTAAGTCCCGTAGAAAAGTTATGGGTCGCTTAAAATAACATTCATCATGCAAATCTGATAGTTTTCCCCCCGAAAAAAATTGGAGGAAGTATATTGAAGGATATTAGCTTTACGTAGATCTCAGTTGTAAAAACTTAAATGTAAGAAGTTATAAGAATCGTTTATTTCTTATCACATTCTGATGTAAATTAGGCATTACATATTTTCTATGGTCATTCTCTTGAGGCTTACTCATGCCTTCAAACTTATGCATGAGCCCCAGGTAAGTTTCATTTTAATATAATTCCATCATATTAGGCAAAAGCAAATTGAATCACTTTAGCATTTTGAGGGTTGCCTACGGTGCCTTTGCCACCCATCCTTGCACTTGGATAGCTCAACACGCTCAAACACACTTGGTGCACTATCATGTGTTTTGCCCCACCACTTCATTTTCACTACCCGCAGTTGGCCTCAACTCCGCTATTGCACTTAATGCTTTCGCTAAGCCCAAACTCACTCTTGTGTGTTCCCATGGTGCTAGTGCGTGCTTACATGGCTATATCACCTGATGGCACCTAGTCAGCCACCTTGGGCTATGACTATGCATTTTTCCCCACTAGTAGAGTTTTTCATATTAGGTCACTTTCTTCCCGTGCTCTAGATACTTGCATCCCACTTCACTGCTACTACTAGAGAGCGCCGCGGACCCTCTCTCTTGCTCGCAATTCCATAGCAACCACATCCCTCATTGGATTCTCCTAGGGTCACAATGGTTTCCTCCGATTCGATCCACATCATGAGCCAATAGTTCCTACTACTGCCAGGCTCCGTTAGCTCATCTTTTTTCAGACCCCACATCTCTTGTTACTCACAATTTTCGTTCTTTTGCAAAAAAAAAAAAGAAAGAATGGATCATCAGACTTGAGATTGCAACCCTCTCCTCCTGTCCACTTTTCATTTTCAACAAGAGTCAACTCCAACAAAATATAAGCAACCATTGTTATATTAAGGCCGATCTAAGCTCATATTTTTTTAGGATGAGAATACTAAGCTTGCTAGACCATTCAAACGTAGATTCCAACCACAAATCCCTATTAGACCTCACCTGGTTGGTGACTATTCAATTGGCATTATTGATCCTCACCACATCATAATAATATTATTATTAGATGCAAACTAACCAACCACTTCTATCGGTGTACCAACTATATTAGTGGTTTTCCGAAGTATATGCTCAATTTATCGAAAAAAACACCCTCGAGCGATAACAACTACCAGCCCTAATTAGGACCGACCGGTTCAGCCTCCCTGCCGAATTGGCCCCTCCCCTTGCTAAGCCATGGGCGGTTTAGCCCAAGCAGCCCTGTGTCAACCTCCTGGGATTGAGAGAGCTTCAACTTCATTCGTCTAAGCTTCTGTTTTTTCATCTGCAATCTTAGCAGCACCCAGATCTCACCGTCGGTTGTACTGTCTCCCAAAGTAATTCAGAGCTGACTTGACTTGATCTGAAGTGGGGGTAATCTGAGACTCTTTGAACAATGGTGGCTATAGTGATAAGATGTCGATTGTGCTATTCTGCAAAGGTCTCTGTCGGGACCGCCTCGTGTCTGAAATCAACATCTCAGTCCTATCATCCTTTATTGTCACCATAACTGTTTCCACTCATGCTTCTTTATTGGTAAGGGTCCTTGTGATCTCGGACTCCATAGATGATAAAAGGATGATGCACTTCTCCTCCTTAGTGAACGAGCAAGTGTTCCTGAATCCATCATGTTGAGTCCTACAGTCGAATTGCCACGGTCAGCTAACAGAAGGAGACAGGCATCCATGTGCACCACGTCACACCACACCTGTTATTACAGCTGGCTTCCAATAGCAACCCCACAAGGCACCTCCGGTCAATGCTGAACCCGTTCTCCTTCAGCCACATCATTGAGTCCTACAGTCGAATTGCCACGGTCAGCCAACAGAAGGAGACAGGCATCCATGTGCACCACGTCACACCACACCTGTTATTACAACTGGCTTCCAATAGAAACCCCACAAGGCACCTCCGGTCAATGCTCAGCCACATCGGAGAATTCGACCGAAAGTGACTCAGTCACGAGGGACAATTTTCCACCATCTATGTAGACACCACGTTCTTGTTGTTCCCTCCATTGATGATGAGACTCAAAACTTCCTGTTTATAGTGCAACTGATGTAGAATATATTGTGGCAAAGCTACTATGGATCCCTTGTATCCTCGGTCTATAAGACCAGTCGAACCACCAGTTTCATTCGGTGGAAGATGATACGCCTCACCCTGTTCTTTAGTTGTCTCCTCATTGCTAACCTCCTCCATTGTGCCCTGCTCGGCCAGACAGTTGGAGGCGATATGCCCAAATCCATCACATCTAAAGCATTTTCTGGTGAGAACTGCAGTAGGCGTGTTATTCTTATCGGGTTTCTTCTCACTCAAAATGAATATGTCCTAATCCATAGTAGTTTTCTCGACTCTCTGAGGCGTGCTCCCGCTGGAATCTTCAACTACGGGTGGCTTCCTAATTGATGGTAGTTGCCTGCTCTATCTCTGCATCTCTCCACGTATAAGACTAAGGTTTGGACATCTCCCTGTGTCCAATAGAGCTGCAGTTGCACGATGTTACTGATAGCGGGCTTTAGACCACCCAGATATCAGGCTATGGTATGTTCCTCTGACTCGACCAACTCATACTTCATCTGCAACTGGTCAAGCTGGGTTGTGAACTCCTCCATTGATAGATCTCTTTGTTGTAGGTGGTATAGTCTCAGGAACATATCCTGTCGGTAATGAAGAGGTAGGTATTTTCTTTGCGTCGTCTTCATCATCTTCTCCCACTTGATAATTTTATCCTTATCTTATCTCTTCCTCTCTCATTGCAAATTTTCCCACCACAAAAATGTGTTTTTTTCTCAATTTGATGGCTAATTGTTTTACCCTTTTATATTTTGGCACCTCTTTGTACTTGAAGATTCTCTCAATCAGCTACAACCATTTGATTAAGTCGTCGGGATTCATATCTCCATCAAGCTCTGGTAGATCTATCTTTGCTCCAAAGTCTGTGTCCTCCATATGTGGACTCATTTGATACTAGATTCCAAAACGACGTGGTCTTTCTTCTTCATCAGTGGAATCCTCCCTATAGAATGGGAAGAAATTCTCCTCTTTCGCCCCTTCAACATTCCTTGTAATGATCAAGGGTAATTTCCCCTTAGGTTTCATCCTCTATGTTTTTAAACCTCCGTTGAAGTCGACGGATTTGTCGATGTATCTCTTCATGAGTAAGCTCATACATGTATCTCCATGATATCATGGCTAGGGTTTAGCGTTGGGAGGTGAAAGAGCGTGTATGAGACTAATTGAAAATGATGAAAAAAAAATTAATTTGGGGTTGCTGATTTTGAAAATCAATAAGGAAAAGTTAGGGTTAGTTCAAAAATTGTTTATGATTTGGAAATATGAAAGAAAATTTTTGGATAGAAGTGGCTTTGGTAGGGGCGAATGCTAGGAAACCCTAAAAATAGGAATAGAGTTATACTAACTTTGATACCAAATGATATCGAAGTTAACCCAAACCACGATCGAAAAGGAAATATTATTGTCAAAATTCAAATAGGTTACAATGACGACTCTCCAAAACAGGAAATAGATAACAACAAACATAAAAAGACAACATAGAGTGAGGATGAGGGTGGCAGATGGCGGTTGAACAATAGTAGGGGTCGGATTGGAGGTGGTTGTGAGGACAGGAGGGTTGGAAATGGGTTTGGCCAACAGTTGGAAAGCCGGTGAAAGGAATTGTGGTGGTTGCTGGTAGGTTAGAGTAGGCGGTAGTTTTGGGAGGATGGGAGGAGGTTACGGGAGAACCTAGAAGGTGGTTGCCCCAAGGAAGCAACAGCTGATGGGAGGAGGGTTGGGGATTGCGGTTGGGAAGAAAGGAGGGAGGAAGGTAAGGTGGAAGGTTTGAGGGCTGCAGTAGACAACAAAACTGTTGTCTTTGGGGCGAGCTGCAACAAGTACGGTGACGGCGACGACGACGGCGAGGGGCAGGTTGCGGGTGAGGAGAAGGACGACGATAATCACTACCTAGGAGCAAGATACAACTAGAGCATTATTCGTCCTCAGATACAGCCCAGGAAGGAAAAAAATGAGATATCTGTGACTGTCCAAATAAAAATCTCAGCCAAAAACTAAACCCTGACACAACAAACAACCTATTTATAATAAAAAGATAACTACGAGGGGTCCCCCTTGGGTGGCAGCAACTCCCAACCCTAATTAGGGCCGACTGGTTCAGCCTTTGCTAAATCGACACCCCCTTGCTGAAGCATGGGCAGGTTCAGCCCTAGTAACCCTGTGACAGTGGCACTCCTGTGTTTATGAAGATTGAGACTTACAAAGACCCGAAACTCCATCTTCTCCTCCTCCAACTCCGTCCTTGTGACACAGTTGCAATTAGAGCCCGTTGAGGAAGGCCATCCAGGGATCGGAGAGAAAACAGCGAAGCAAGCCCGAGATCTTACGTGCCCTAGTCGCACTATAGTAGAAATTTGGACGATCAGGCTATCTACGAAGCCGAGGCAGATCAAGACTTACAATCTCGTGGTACAAACAAGACCCAGACTACGTGGGAAGTCATCAACGAGATTTCAGCATATATTACTTCCTCCATCGTGATTGAACCTGTTCTGGGCATAATGGTGGTTAAGAAAATGGAGGCTTTGAAGGAAAAACTGGAGAAAGAGATGAGAAACATCATCTTTAAAATAAATGAGTGTTTTTCAACAATGAAGGGCCAATTAGAGCAAAGATTCAGAGCCCTGGAAGAAATGATGAAGAATATCATGGAGATTCACATAAAATTGCACTGCCGCAACAGGATCAAGCGATGGCGGTAGGAATAGACACAAGCAACAACAACCGAAAGCGTTCGCACAACATCAGGGCAATGACGCTGCTTTAAGAAGATTGAGAGCTGCTAGAATGAGCCAAGGAATCAGGAGCGAACACTAATGACATCACTTAAAAGAAATAATGCAAGGGTCAAAGGACTAGAACAAACGAAGCAGATAGGATCAAGTGGAGTTGGGAGTGGGTTCGAGCGGCAGCCTACAAAGAAATTGCACGATATCTGGAGGTTTGGAACAAGCGGCGCCAGGCAGAACATGACAACATTCAATTTAGAGACGGAGAAGATTGCTACGCAGATTTTCAGCCTGGAACAGTGAACCACGGTGGTTGGTATCTCGAGAAAGGGCTGCCTCCAACTACACCAACACCTTTAGCTACGAAAGTTTTCTAATTGAAAGGGGATTCAATAGCAATGATGAGAACGGGACATGTGAAAAAGAGATGGAGAATTTGTAAGGGAGTGAATTGGACACTGTAGAGTTCAGGAGGGAGACAAGATTATAGTGCTTCACAATGACCTTAGTTTGTGTGAGGCTTTGGTGACACTCAAGACCATTGTGATAACAATTTAGGATGCATTGTTGAGATTTTTGATTGAGTTGCATATTATGGATGAGACACATATACGAAGTTTGCTGAGATTCTAGGGATCGATAAGTTGTTTGGGGTAGCAGTATTTTTCAAGATTGACTTGGCGTCAAGGTACCATCAGCTTCAAATGTGCCAGAAGAATGTGCACAAGATGATTATTCAGGACAGTAAGGGTCACTACGAGTTTCTGATTGAATGAAAATGATTGTCAGATGGAAGGTGCAAAATGGAAAATAGGCTGAAAAAATAAGAAGTGATGTGATTGGCAATAGCAATAATAACGTTGCAGAATCAACAAGGCGGCATGAGGGTGTTCGTTAATGGGGTGTAGGCGGATGAAGACAATGTAGACATAGTTGAGGTTGGTAGAAAATGATATAGTAAATGGAAGAGAGGAGATCAGGAATAAAGGACAAGAAGGAAATTTAACTTTTTTATCAAATTACTAAGTATAAACTAATAAATCATACATCTTTAATTATAAAATAGGGTTATAAAAGATAAAATAGAAATCAAACCTAACACTACACGATAATTCAAATTCAAACTATTATCCAGAAGGATAATTACTGTTAATTTTAATTAAAATAAATATCATCTGAATTTAAATGGCTGAAAAAATTCATCACGCAGGTGAGGCTGATGCAGTCAAAATATTTTTGAATAACAATAAAAGAACATGAATAATAATAAATTATCTTCAAGCTTCTAAGGCAGACATCCCAAACATCTGATTATTGGTTCAATAAAAAGAAGATTATGTTGGCTTGACTGGAAATTGAAGCATGACAGAGTTAGGTTAAGCCGTTCATTGCATGCAAATCCATTGAGGGACAAACCTATCCAAGGGGTTTTAAAATCCACTCAAGGAATTCAGAAAATGAATCCATTGAGTGACAAACCTATCCAAGCGGTTTTGGTGGATGACTGCATATAAGTATAAACTTCGTTCAAGAGAATGCCTGGGAGTTGGGGCACAGCCGTAAAAAAGCTAAAAGATAATTTTGCAAAGCACTTCTATGGAAGGACTTAAATTTTTTAATAAAGAATGTTCAGTTTATGATATAACATAAAATCAAAATATGTTCGAAAGCTAAAATAATTATATAAAAAATTTTAGTGTAAATAAATAAAAATTAGTGGAAATACTAACTAAATTATAGAAGCTTCTTATTTTTAAATAAAATAATTATAACATCAAAATAAAATAATTATGAGAATGACTTTTTGTATTCTATCGGATAAAATCAAAATAAAATAATTATAACATAATTTAGTGTAAATAAATAAAAAATAGTGGAAACTTCTTATTTTTCAGTTCCATAATTTTTTTAGCAGGAAATATCATAATGCATCCATCAATTATGTTCAAAAGCTACATGAAAGCATTTACAGAATTTCAAATATGATTATTGTCAGCGGTTATGGAAGCAAAATCAAAAGCAAATGCAAGATAACTTACTATATATATAGAAGCTGTTTGGGATTAGTTTTTGTTTTACTTTTTTTAAATATTTTGATGTGAAATAAATATATATATATATATATATATATATATATGATATCTTGAAAATAATATTTTGATGTGAAATAAATATATATATATATATGATATCTTGAAAATAAGTCATTTTTTAATTTAATTTTATTAAATATTGCCAATCTATTCTGTGATTTAGAACAGGATAGTGGCGTCAAGAACGAAGGTATTGGTGGACCAGATGAAGACGGCATCAAACATGGGAATAGGTTTGGCCATTATCATTTGTTGGGGTGTTCCGTAGCAGATGCAAGGTAGAAGGATAGCAACTGGCAGTTGATTGTGGGTCTAAATGGAGTGGTTCACAAGGGTTGAGTGTTCTTAGAAACAGCATGATCTGGGTTTCAAAACAAAAACAAAAACACTTATTAAAATACTAACTGAATTTTTTTTTCTAAATTTTAAAAAACAAAAATTAAAAAATAGAAATAAAAAATAATGTCAAACAGATCCCGAGATATGGTATTCCAAGAAAAAATAAAAAAAAATAAAAAATAGAAATAAAAAATAATGTCAAACAGATCCTGAGATATGGTATTCCAAGAAAAAGTAAAAAAAAAAAAAAGCTTTGCCTTCCAAGCCAACCTTGAATCAAGTAAATATATTATTATAACCACTAGTTATGACATTCAAAAAGAGAATAAACTTTTGACTCATAATGCCAAGCAATACATAGCGAGAGTGGTGTGTGTACCGTTAGAATTTCAGTACCTTCATAGTTGGCAGAATTATTCTGTTGCATTTCTGATTGTTCTGAAGGACCCCAAGAAGATCAGTACTCAACATAAATTCTCTATTGTTGGAATTTTGAATTTTATAACCTTCTGAAACATCAATAAATTCTAGTAGAGCCTCTTTTGAAGCCTTGCTTAAGGACTCTTGCAATCCACCCACAGAGATGACATATCCTGATAGCAAAGATCTACTATAACAGCTAAACTGAAGCAGCTGAACAAATCGTGGGAAGGACACTGTAGGATTCTGTTTTTCAAAGAATGGCAGGAAGTTTTATCAAAAGATAGATCATTGTAGCCAATGAATGCCATTCAAATAAAAGGAATAAGAAATACTCGTGAGAAAAAGGATCATGTCGCAAGAAGAAATAATAGGCATCACATTTCCTGCTCACAATTCATATCCTAAATGCAGACAGAATGGTGCTCTAAGAATATATATAAATATATAATAGCATGTACAACAGAAAAGCAACAGCAATAAGAGGGGGAGCTTGAAACCGTGAAAGGTGCAGGAATGATTGTTAGACAGCATGTGCAGGAGTAGTTTAAAAGAATTTAATGAATTAGAATAGAAAGAAGTGCAGTTTAAACATAGACAAAAAACTAAGGGCTTGTTAGAGATAAATTTTGTTTTTTGTTTTTGCTTTTGTTTTTTCTATTTTGAATTTCCATATATTCTTAGAAAACTATGCATTAAAGTCCTTTTCATTTCGATTTCCATCACAAGTAACACAAAATGTCCAAAATTAAGTGTTTCAAACCTTCAGAGTATTGGTGTGCTCTCCATGTATCTTGAAGTAGATCTGCATTAAAAACTCTATATTCAAAGGCATCAAAAATAAAATGAGAAAGTTCAAAATGGTCCCTGAACTATTTATGTGAGAACATTTTAGTATAGACTATCTAATGTATCCAATTTAAACTTTTAACTACTCAAATTTAATTCAACATAGTCCATTGACTCCTCAGATCTTACCCAAAATAATATAACATAGTGACTATTTTAGATCATATATCATGAGCCAATGGACTAAATTTAACACATTTATAGTCTGGATTTAAAATAACCCCATCTAAATAGTCTATAGACCATTTTAAATTTTTTTCTCTAAATCAAATTTAGTCTATTGCTAGCTTGAAAATTCATGATGGTAGAGTGAGGTCTTTACGTCTTTTGTTTGTATGAAGGTCTCAGTATATAGAGAAAAAATTAAAACTCATAAGAAACACCAGAGTTTTTTATGGAAAAAATTCAGAAACAAAAGAAATCATAGGGCTTGTGCAAAATAAATTGATTCATTATATGATTAAGGATTATGAAAGTTTCTTTCTTCCCCTAAATGAAAGAAAACATTATAACAAAATTTAGAATACTAGCTTGGCCTCCTATGATTTTTAGTTGATATTATTAAATAAATAGTGAAAGTTAGCAATTAGGAACAAAAGATAGCAATTGATTGATAAAAGCAGACAACAACAAATGTGAGATGGCAAGTAAGCGACTATGATCAGGCAATAATGACCGGGCAATACCAATCAAGGAATGACGGGTCATGATGGTTCGATGATCATGGCTAATGACAATGATCATAGATGTTGATCGTCAGGCAAGGCTTTAAAGTACTTAAGATCTCTAGCCTTTCTATAAATTCAAATAAGGTCCACTTCATGTAAGGAATGAGGGATTATTTACAAATTTCAAAAGTGACATTTTAATAAATTTAGGTAAAATATCAATAAATTGCATTAAACAAACTTGGTGGGAGTTGAGCATCCATTTTGTGGTGGGCTTATCTCAGACATAGTAGAGTAAAGATTCTATTATGATAGTGTTAGACCGTTTTCTAAATGACACATTTTGTTCCTTGCCACATAATCATGGAAGTGTTGCACATTTAAAAATTATACTTTAGGGAGATAATACATTTTCATGGCAAGCCCAGAACCATCATTTCAAATAAAGCTATGAAGTTTTGGGGCCATTTCTGAAGGATCATTCGGAGTAAGCATGGTATAAAATTTTAGTTCAGTTATTAGCAAAACCACAAACAAATGAACAAATAGAGGTTATAAATTACTGTTTGCTTAAGGGTTTTGTGGGAAAGAATATCAGACAGTGGGATTTATTTTTCCCTCAAGTGGAGTTTGCCTACAACCGTTCCACTAGTCAATTCGCAGGTAACAATACTTTAGAGATTATATAAAGGTATAATCCTTTATGACCATTGGAATTTATGTCAATATTTTTAACTATTGAACTTAACACTGATGCAGATGTTAGAATCAAGGATATTCAGACCCTACATGAACATGTGAGGAAGAATAATACTAAACAAAATACTAAGTATCGAAAGCTAGCTAATAAGTTGAAAAAAGCTTTGCTTTTTAAGAAAGGTGAACTAGTGTGGATCAGATTGAAAGAGTAATTTCCTGAAGGTTCAATTGAACTCAAGTCTAGAGCTGATGGCCCATTCAATATTATTAAGAAAATTAATGACAATGTCTACTGGATTGATTTACTAGAAGACTAACATCTAGGCTACTTTTAATATTGTTGATTTGTTGTCGTACTACAAAAAGTTGATACTTTCATAAAAGAAGGTGAAGCCTCTCTTACTCAGGGAGAGTGAAGTGGGACCTGAATTTCGTGCAAACGTGTGAATTGACAGAGGCGGTATTCCATCCAAGAGTTGTAGTGAGAAGATTTCTGCCTTTTTTGCGTTTGTCGTGTGGGCCCCTTATTAATATTATTTAAATTAGAATTAGGGCTTTAATTATGTCTTAGTATAAGTACATTGTTAAAACCTGATTTGGGACAATTTTGCTTGATTTATGATATTTGGATATTTCTTTATCCATGTTTTCTATATTGGATCGTTGTTATCTTTTGATTTCTCTATGGTGATGTGCTTGTGACCTGATTACATTAAGATGGTGATCACTCCTGGAAACCGGTGCCACTTGTTGTTTGAAAGCGGAAAGCTGTTGTTTCCCACCACAGGACCTCTGTCCAGCCACTGGTTGCACTGGATTTCAGCCGCCATTATGCATTCCTCTTCCGTTACCTATACGACTATCATCCTGATACTTCCCTCGATCTTTCCACACCGTCCAGGAACCCTAGAATGGTGTCCCATTTCAAACAGAAAAACAAAGATTACATGCAAACCTCGCACTTCTTGAATTTGGACAGCCATCATGGAATAATACATCCATGGTTGTTAGTTGCCGATTGGAAGAGCAATGAGAAGAGTTTGCACTAAATCAAGTTCAATTGCTTCATCTGTTCAATCCCTCAAAACAATGCACAATTCTAGTAGCCAGAATAAATTATATAGACTTATGGCTGGGAAATTCAAATGGATGTGTGAGGTATGAAGCAAAAGTTGTCTTCTTTGGGCACAGGTGGCAACATTTTAACATTGTTAAGGCCTTACATGATGTAAAAGATAGAAAAATCACTGACAAAGATGAACTTTCAAAAGGTGTGATGCTTAATCCAGATTAGGTAGCATTTACAGGCGAAGGTTAGAACTCATGCAGTCTAAGCATTTTTGTAGCAGGAAAGGTACAGTTTCATAGTCATCATAATGAAAAAAATAATAATTAACTTCAAGAGCTAAAATATAACAGATCATGATAAACTCACTTCCCATTTCAAATCTGTATCAAGAGGAATAACTTCTTCTAGTGTTTTCCTGTGTGGTATGCATGGAACAAAATGCAGAGGGCAATGTATTATCCTCTGGAGAATCCTAGCAGCTGCACCTCTTATTTTGTCCATCTTCTCAACAGCCTGCTTTGCTATGCCTTTTACTAAGTCGGTGGCAATTTTTTCATCAAACAAGGGGCATAACTGCTTGGAAGGAACCGACTCATCATACTTGCAGAGGATGTAGGCGCACCTCTCAAGCGCATCCATGGCAGCCTCTCGAACCCAGGAGCCCACATCTCCTCTGTTGTCGACTGCATAGTCATCAAGCGCATCGAAAAGGGTCCTCATCACATCATTCCTGATGAAAATATAAATAGAGCTTTCTTCTGTACTTTGATCACTAGAAGCTCTTGTTAGTGTTTCACACACAGTAACAAGCCCTTTTACAGCATTCACACGTGCTTCAGCATCCGCATCATCAGGCTGATCCTACATTTTGAAAAGCAAATTATTACGCCAGAGAGATAACAGGATTTACCAAGAGAGAGAAGAAAATTCAGCAAGGATGAGCATGGTAGAATTTAGATTCTCTGCCTACCCGAAGCAGACAAGATTTGCATAGTTTTCTCAAGATTTCTCTCCACCTTGTAAAAAGGAATTCGTAAGGTAATATACCAAAAGCCAATGCGGCCCCTCTTCTTGCTGCAACATTAGGATCATCAAGAAGTTCTAGGAATGTTGAAACAATCCCATTGGGGACCTTTTCATTAACAGAAACAAGATAAGCTTGAACAAAGTTCCTTAGTGCATCAACAGCAGCGTTCTGGACATCAAAATCTAATTAATCACAAACAGTTAATGAAGATAAAAGTATCGGAGCACAATGCAGCCCATTATGGCTAGTAGTTGAGAGCTTTTTCTCCAACCACAAGTTCCTGAGTTCAAGGCCCAACACAAACGGGCGCTTGTATAAGTTAAAAGTATAAGTATTGGAGCAGACAAAATAAAGCTAACAGTAATGATATCTATTATCATGGCCCCCAAGTGCTATAGATATGAACTTCAAAAGCAGAAAAAAAATACCTGTATTTGTGAATTGGGGTGCTTTAAATTGTCTGTTAAAGTTTCAAGTAAAATCTTTTTTGTTTTATCATTTAAGGATATTGCTGAACTAGAGATGCAGTCAATGAGCTTAGATACAGCAGAACGCATGATCTCTCCTCCCTTCCCCCGATAAAGGCGAGCTTTTTCAATAGAAGGAACAATACCTGCTACCTTTTGCTGCTTTTCTGTTCATGATGAAAAGAGAAAGAAAGGTAAAAGTTTGCCCAAACCAAAATGTTTGCATCATTAGAACACAAATAACATTTTCAATTAAAATAAAATTATAACAGTAACAAGTACATCACATAATAACCAGCATTTTCATTAAAGAAAATTACTAAGCATAACAAGAGGCTGTTTAACATGCCAATGAGCCAAATCTCTTGGCTAACTGCATACTAACCCATCGAAAAATGAAATTTACATTCATGCAGAGCCAAGACAAGTTCTCCAACAGCCAATGTTGCACCATGGCGTGTGCAAAGATCCACAGAGAGAGTGAAAGGCATTAATTTCTCAAGGACAGATCCTGCAAAATAGTCAGGGTCATATTTTGCAAGAGCAGAAATAGCCCGTGCAGCTAGTTCCCTCAGGCTTCTATCCTGAAACATGAATAAAGATGCATTCAATAACTATTATAGATACCAAAACGAGCTTGACAGCTGGGAATACTTCAGCATCAGAAGCATGTATTGGCAAAAATAATTAGAAAAGTACAAGTAAAAAAATTTGCAAACATTAAAAAAGCTAAATCCACTTCGGACTAGTTAAAACTTAATCAGAAACACATGCGCCCAATGAAAGTGACCTGCGAAGATGGCACACTGCAAACATTAAAAAAGCTAAATCCACTTCGGACTACTAGTTAAAACTTAATCAGAAACACATGCACCCAATGAAAGTGACCTGCGAAGATGGCACACGCAAATTTAATAGAGAACATCGAAGAAATGCATATTAAGCATATTATAGTGGCTTACTGGAAATAATTGAAATACTTGCAAGAAAAAGAAACCAAGTGTAAATAAATGCAATGAAATGTTCAAAAAATACTTCAACAATTTCATGACATATGATAAAATAGAGGCCAAAACTAAATGAGAAGCATTCACAGATAAAGAGGACATCCTAACTGACGCGGGGCTCGACATGAGGATCGACCGGTCCTCAAGGGATGGAGGCTGCCACCCCCCCTTCCTCTTCCCTCCCTTCCTTTTTCCCTCCTTTCCATCTTTTCTTACTTTTCTCCCTAGGCCTTTCCTAGTTTAAATCCTTACTTAAAATCTGAAATCCTTTTATTAAAAGCCTTTCCAAAAATCTGAGATCCTGATTATATTTTATTATCCTTTTTTATTTGAAGTGTTTCCTAAAATAATTCTAGCCACTTTATAAATAAGAGAAGATGTGCTTAGAGTTAGGGGTCTTGTTTTGATATCTGAATTCAGGTTTTGGCTTTGGTATTTTCCCTTCAAGGGTTATATCCAACATCGAGGTAGTGCTTCGGTTGTCCTTCGTCTGAGGTGGTGATCGTCTCCACGGGTCCAGGTGGTGCTCGGACTGTAGCTCGATCCCGTTGAGATATTTATCTATTCGTCCACTCTTCCCGCTACTGTTCCTTAAATCCAGACCAGCAGCTTTCAAACTCCCCCTGCACCCTTGCAGGCCGCTGTCCAGCCTCCTCCTTGCCCCAACCAGTTGCAGCCCAGCTTCTTCCTCCCTCCAACCTGCTGCCAGCCTTCTCCCAACAAGGCCGCAGCTCTCCATACTCCTCCCAGCAGACTGCCACTGCTCCCTGCACCCTTGCAGGCCACCACCCAGCCTCCTACCTGCCCCCAACCAGCTGCAGCCCAGCTTCTATCTTCCTCCGACCTGTTGCCAACCTTCCCCCATCAAGGCCACAGCTCTCCATACTCCTCCCAACAGGCTGCTGCAGCTCCCTGCCCCGCAGGCCATCTCCCTTCCACCCTGCCTCCTGCAGTCCTCAAGTCTCTGCCCACCAAATTTCCTGCTCGTCAAGTTTGTTTTTTGTCCTAGTTGTGTTGTGTGTTTGCTTGTATCCTGCACCGTTGCTTTGGGTGGTTGTTCTCTATACTTTGAGTCTACATTGCAACCTCATTTAGAGTCAATAATAATATTCACATTTTAGAGTCGTGGTTTGGGTCAACTCCGATATCACTAATTTCCATATTTGTAACAATTTGGTATAAATCAATGTTTAGCTTGTATATTAATCATCCAT